AGTGGTGACTGTCAGTTAATGTACATATGGCAGAAATGTACGGAAAATCAATTCAAGACGTAATCAAACAGATGATGAACACTATTACAGTTAGTTCTGTACGGTTACAGTGTTTTTAATTATATTTTTATAAAATATTTGTTTATTTGTGAAAAATACTTTGTCATTTAAAGTATAGGCATGTTTATTTTACACGTTTATTTTTTTAATCCATTTTCAATTGATTTCAAATTTCTTAAATATTAAATAAAATTATATCGGCTTTATATCGGCCATCGGCCACCCTGCTTTCCAGGATATCGGCATCGGCTGTCAAAAAACCAAAAGACCACTAATCGTGTATGCAAGGCATACAGTGCCAGACACGGACAGATTTGCTGGTATGCAAAACCAGTACATTACAGGAATTCCTTTAGCTTATTGCTGTTTCTGTGGCAGCCAACAACAGCACAGCTTAACCCTGCGCACATTTTTATATTTAGTTATACTGAACAAAGTTTAAGTTTAATTAAAATCAGTCTATCTTTTTAGCCCGTTTTAACATGGTTTTCTATGGAGACCGGAACACGAGAGCATCCAAACAGAAGTTAGAATCCATCATGGCGGCGCTTATCGCTTACTCAGGAAAAAGGTGGATAGCTTTAATTTTTCTTTTAGTTTTAGTAATTTTATTATGCGCTTTTGACATCTTTATACTTTCTTATGTGTATTTCTATATAGCTTCAATTAATTTTTCTTTCAGTTTTAGTTTTGGTAAGTTTGTTATGTGCTTTTATTATTTTTATGCATTTTTTCTTTTAATTTTTAGAATATTTCAAGTAATATTTATATTTTATTTTATTTTATTTCTTGATTTAAATTAGCAAAAACAAAACATTATTTTAAAAAGTGGGTAATGTCAGAGCATAACAAGGCTGAACAGAAAGTGCAGGACAAAGACACATTTTTGCACAAAAAAATAAATATGTAGATTCAATGTTTTTTGACCTCCATAGCTCACTCAAATGTATTGATGATGACATGCAGACTGATATCTGATGAAAAACTCCTGGGAACAGAAATCCTCCTCTCTGTGATCATGAACGCTCCTGTCTCTCTTGACAGGCCAATTTCAAAGAGTCCTACATGGCCGCCTTCTATGACTACTTCAATGAGCAGAAGTACGCCGATGCAGTAAAGAATGTGAGTGTCTCGTGTCTATCACATATATCAGAGATCTCTGCTTCAGTATGTGTTCTGATGTGAGCCGTGTGTGTCTGTGTCGCAGTTCCTGGATCTGATCTCGTCCTCGGCCCGCTGGGATCAGAAGAGCATTGAGACGCCCATCATGCTGAAGGAAGGGTGAGAGACACTCACACGGCCGTCACGTGTCACTGTATCAGTGTGAGACATGAGGACAAATCAGCATGTCAGTGTGTGTGTGTGTTTGTGTTTCTCTGCTGGACGCAGGAGTGTTAAACTCGTTATTAAAAGATTTGATGCCAAAGGTTCTGGCAGGTAAGAAGCCGTTGTGACCTATGACCCTTAATACATGACCTCCTGACCCCCGTCATAGCCTCCTCAGTATCTGAGACAGGATGAGACTATCCATGTGTTTGTTGTTCTCCTGATGTTCCTGCTGGACTCTCCCTTCCCTGTTAGTGAGCACAGACACACGGACCCTTTCTAGTGTGCAAACCCTTCAGAGAACATGAGACTTGATGGAGATCTCAGTTCGGTTTCACTGAATGTGCTCTCACATGCTAAGCCACTAGTTGCTATAAATTGTACGTGGAGCAGCTCAGATCATTTGATGAGATGTTTGAGCTCATATTGAGATCTCTGACTTTTAAATACAATTGGAGACACTGTTCTCTCTAGAGGAGATTACTGGGGTGTTTTTCTCAGGAGATACATCTGAGAAGCAGGAGAGACTTCAGTGAATTTTGCTCTCCATTTAGTCTGAGTTTGCCTATCAATTGAGATATTAAAGATCTCAGCAGAGTTATTTTAGTATCATTGATTTACTATTATTTTTGTTAGCATTTTAAATGTTTTTAATATATTTTTTCTTTAATTTTAATTGCATTAACATTTTGTAATTTTGTTGTTTGTCATTATTATTTTTTAAATGTTTGTATAATTTTTTATAAATTTTTGTTTATTAATTTCAGTTTATTTAGCTTTAGTTATTTCAGCACTTCAAGTTAAACTGTAAAAAATTTGTATTAGGTTTCTTTTAAATATGTCGATGTATTTTTATTCATTTTTATTCATTAATTTTAGTTTTTTTAGTTTTAGTTATTTTACTACTACAATTTAAATTAAACAAAAAATGTTGCCTTGCCAACTAGCTGAGATAAAATTTAGTTATTTAAAAAATAAATAAATAGATTTAAAAAAGTTAATTTTATTTTATTTCATAACGTTTACTTTATTTAAAGTAATGAAAAGGTTTTTATGGTATTAGTTTTAATTAACTGTAATTACCTGGAATGCAGAAATTATATGTACACAGTATTTACTGGAATTCATTCAACAGTATTTGAAAATGTACAAATGTCCTTTATACATTGAGAAGACAACACTGGAAATAAACGTCAGCAGTTGTTCAACAGGATGCCAGAATAATCCAGTTTAGAGAGAAATAGGATGTTTATTGTGAAAATAATCAGTAATGTGATTAATGAATACTGTGGTTGGTTTTGTTGACGTCAGAATGAGTCGATTATTCATTTCAATCAGATTGTAGTTAGTGTGTGATTGAGGCTGGAGGGCGTCTGAGTTTATACCTTCACTAAAGTCTTGTTCTCCTCTGAACTTCCAGATTCATGATCAAACGAGCTCAAGGGCGAAACCGCTTCGGTCTGAAGAACTTCAAGAAGAGATGGTTCCGCTTGACCAACCACGAGTTCACCTACCATAAAACCAAAGGTAACGCAAAAGGTTTGTCCCAAACTCTCACTACAGGTGTGTGAGGCATCTGCTGTTCATCTGTGGAGTATTGAAGCACATCCCATCATGTGTTTGTGAAGGAGCAGAACATCAACACTGCTGAATAGCAGAATAGCAGTCATATAAAGAGTGTAAAGAAGTGTAAAAAACATCTCGGTTACATATGTAACCCTGCTGTTACGTGGATACTGATGTATGGGGTCTCACTTGGGAGCCCCAGTCACCTCTGAGTAGTACAAGAAAGGCCAATGAACACTGACAAGTGAAATTTGCATGTCAAGCCACTCCCCCAGACATACGGGTTTAGAAGGAGGTTGGCGTGCTCACTGATTCAGATTTGTGCTGAGCAGGCGAGACCTGATCACAGGAATAAATGGTATTTTAATATATATATACACATAGAAAACACTTACTTTAAATTGAAATAATATTTCACAATATTACTGTTTTTATTGTTGTTTTTTTCCGATCAAATAAATGTAGCCTTGGTGAGCAGAGGAGACTTCTTTCAAAAACATTACAAAATCATAATTATTCCAAACTTTTGAACAGTAGTGTGTGTATTTTTTTATGAGTATAGTCATATATAGAATTACAGGAACAGGTGAAAGGTCAAGATTTTTTAAAAGGTGCAGAGGACACCAGAGACACAGGCTGAGAAGGACAGAGAAGCTGCTGTTGAGCAGAACACTGAAACCTGCAGAAAACACCAACAAACACTTATAAATCAAACATTTTCCTGCCAGTACAGTCATTTATACATCTATCCTTTAAGTGATCAGTCTGTTTTGTATTGGTCATTGATGTGGGCTGGTGTGGTTATCAGTGCTGATGTGTGTCTCTCGCTGTGTCCAGGAGAGGGTGCTCTGTGCAGCATCCCTATTGAGAACATCCTGGCTGTAGAGAGACTAGAGGAAGAGTCCTTCAAAATGAAGAACGTAAGTAAAACTTCAGATTCACATTTGATGCATTTCATAGACATCAATAATGTGATAATGTTATCACAGTCGCTACAGCAGTGCATAAGCAGCATCTGTGCTTGAACATCTGCAGCAGTTCTGTTGTTTTTCCTGCAGATGTTCCAGGTCATCCAGCCAGAGAGGGCGCTCTACATCCAGGCCAATAATTGCGTGGAGGCCCGTGACTGGATCGACATCCTAACCAAGGTCAGTCAGTGTAACTGCAAGCGTCTGAGCACGTACCACCCGTCGGCCTACCTCAACGGACACTGGCTCTGCTGCAAGCTGTCTGCGGACACTGCGCCCGGCTGCACGCCCTGCACAGGGTGAGTCTGCGCACATCACGACCACACTGTTCCTGTTTTTAAGATGAATTGCAGTGGACTAAACGTATAATATACAATTGAAAACATGCTGGAAAAAGACTTATTGTTTGACTCCTTAGAGGCCGTTCACACACAATCAGTTTTTGCATTCCACTGGAGTGTAAATGTGCTAGACGGATGTGTTTGAATGTTGCATTGATGCCTCGTGTCTTTGCACATGACGATGTTTTCTTGAAAGGTAAAAGAAGTATCAACTCTAAAAAAAAATGTGTCTCTAGACCTAGTGTTATTTTTTCATTTAACTACATTTCATTTAAAGTGTTAGTTCACCCAAAAATGAAAATTGGCTTGTGTTTTACTCACCCTCGAAGCATCCTAGGTGTATATGACTTTCTTCTTTCAGACGAATCCAGTCGGAGTTATATTCAAATTGTCCTGGCTATTCCAAGCTCTATCATTGAAGTCAGCGGGTGGTGCAGTTGAACAGTCCACAAGTCGTCAAATAAAAACGGCATGCCGTTATAATAGCCATGCCGGCGGATGACGCAGCACGTATGCGCAGCGCGCGCGCCTCTGAGATATGCTAGTCTCGCGAGTTTGTTTATAGGAGCAAAGGAAGCAAAGTTTCCTTACATTAGCAAAGGAAAACCAGTCTCCTCTTGGCTTATATCGAAATCCTCCGAAATTTTTCTTTGCAAATCTTCGGTTTGTACTTCCAATTCATGACCGGCGTTTTGTTTTGTTCTCTCTCCACGTTCGTCACTGATCACGCAACGCCGACGTGCTGCGTCATCCGCCGGCACGGCTTCCGCGTATGACAGATACCGGAAGTGAGAGAAAAGTGTTTATTACGTTTGAAATATGGATATTTTTCTTACAAAAACACATGGATTCGCTACAGGAGGCCTTTATTCACCCCCCGGAGCCGTGTGAAGCACGTTTTATTATGAATGCGCGCGCTTTATTTGACGACTTGTGGACTGTTCAACTGCAACACCCACTGACTGCAATGATAGAGCTTGGAATAGCCAGGACAATTTTTAATATAACTCCGACTGGATTCATCTGAAAGAAGAAAGTCATGTACACCTAGGATGCTTCGAGGGTGAGTAAAACACAAGCCCATTTTCATTTTTGGGTGAACTAACCCTTTAACTTCTTGCATTTTTAAATCAAGACACTACAGACAAAACCAGTGTTTTTTATTCTCTGCTCAGTTTTGTGATTATAGTCTGTTTTGCTTCCATAACATGTCTTCTTTCAGACTAGTGTAAAGAAAACATCCAAAATACACATTTAAGTGTTTCTTTTATTGCACTTTATCTATTTGCGTCTGTAGATTTCAATTGCAATCCATATCTTTAAAGACTTTTCTCTCTTACATACACCAAACTTTACAGTTTTATTCAGTTTTATTTTATTTACAGTTTTATTATTTATACAACATTTTATTCCTAAAAACATGGTGAAAATGTATTTGTTTTCTGTCTGTTGACAGTATTTTCTGATTTATGGAGTGATAAAAAGAGAAATCCAAAATTCCCTCTGGAAAAACCTTTAATATGTCAACCAAATCAAACAAGAATTTTGAAAGTGGCTTTATCCAATGTTCAAATGTATGTGCTGGATTTTAAATTTATGTGCTATTTGCATATTTAAACATAACATTTCAGAAAACTTGTAATACATAACTAAAATTATCTTAATGTTCTGTGATTTATCAACTGATGAAGTATGGTGACATCTATTAGTTAAACATTTTACCCTATCCACCTGCGGTTTAAAACCGGTTCTGTGTGAACTGCCCCTTATGCATATGATGTGACATGATCAAGGGTTCAGACGGTTTGTGTCTGTGTTTGTGTCGTTCAGGGGACTTCCTGCCAACATCCAGCTGGACGTGGATGGAGACAGAGAGACGGAGAGGATCTACTCGCTCTACAGCACGTACATGTCCAAACTAGTGAAGATGCAGGGTGAGTGAGAGCGAAGTGGGGGAAAAAATAGATATTATATATTATTATATTATTTTTAAATATAATGTCCAGAAAAATGACTAAAACTGAAATAAAAATAAAGATAAATAGAAATATACAAGACTAATAAAAATGACAAAAGCACATAACAAAATGACTAAATCTTTAACTAGAATTAATTAAATAAAATCAAAAAGCTAATTTAAAAATATTAATAAATACTATAATACTATATAAAAAAATAACATTGGTTTAAAATAATTGAACAGTACTTTGACTCTATTTGTTGCATGTGTCATCATGCTGATGCATGGTTGCAATCAGCATGCAGCAGGTTGCAAACACTTGTACATCAGTCCTGTAATGTGTCTCATCTCTCCATCCAGAGGCCTGTGGCAGTAAGTCGGTGTACGATGGCCCAGAGCAGGAGGAATACTCCACGTTTGTGATCGACGACCCGCAGGAGACGTATAAAACCCTGAGACTCGTCATCTCAGCCGTACAGACACTGGAGCAGCAGCACATGCAGTACAAACGAGACAAGTTCAGGAAAACCAAGTACGGCAGCCAGTAAGTATCGATGAACCACTCATCTGTGACTAGATAAGTTATACCAAGCCAAGTCAAATGTATTTAAATAGCGCTTTTCATGTGCACATTGTTTCAAAGCAGAAAATCATGATGTTCATGTTTAATCTTAATATCTTCATGTCTTATAGTTGCATTTAGCAGATTAGAACTGGACGGTTATATACTTTACATTTGTCGACAAAATAAAAAATCAGGCAATTGATATATAGTATATATTGCTTTATGCAAGTGTACTGTATGTATGTCGATAAAGTTGGTTAGAATATATATCAAACTTTAAATATAGAGCTGTCCTTATTTTAAGTTAAATTACTAAAACTAAAACTGAAATAAAGGTAAATAGAAATATAAAAAATGAAAAAATTACCAAAACTAAAATACAAATACGTTACAGATAAATAGAAATATAAAAAAACGAATACAAGTGATAAAAGCATAACAAAATTACTAAAACTGAAATAAAAATAAATGAAAGATAAATAGAAATATAAAAAAACTAAAAAAAAGATAAAAGCAGAACAAAACTACTAAAACTAAAATACAAATAAATTAAAGATAAACAGAAATATAAAAAACAAATAAAATGAAAAAGCACGTAACAAAATTACTAAAACTGAAATAAAAATAAAGACATATAGAAATATAAAAAGCTAATAAAAGTGACAAAAGCACATAAAATTACTAGTGTCAATTAAAATAAATTAAAGAAATAGAAATAGAAAAAACTAGTAAAAATGATAAAAGCACCACAAAAATTACTAAAAGTGAAATAAAAATAAAGATAAATATTAAAAAAATTACAAAACTGAAACTATAAACATAAAATCTATTTCAAAATATTAATATATACTATAATAGTATAAATATATATAAATATATTTATAAAATAAATACCAAAATAAAAACAGCACTTTCACTCATTGATTAACTTTATTTGTTGCTTATAAGTCAGTTATTTGTGTCCACAGGAAGGAAGTTCTGTTCTGATGCATCATGTTTTTGTGTTTACAGGGAACATCCAATCGGTGATCAGAGCTTCCAGTGTTACATCCGCCAGCAATCAGAAAGCTCCACCTACTCCATCTGACCACGCCCACTGCAGACACTGCACAGTCTCCACGGCAACAGTCGCATCTCAGACAGGAAACACTTGAGTTGTGATTGACAGGAAGGTGGCCACAGACAAAAGCTAAACCTCTGGTGCTTTTATATGATTTTAATCAGCCAACAGCTTCCTCTGAATGGCCTCACACGCACCTGTGGACCATGTAGCTCCGCCTCACGGCACGTTATAACATTTTATGATGTTTTTAAGCTAGGAGACGACCAGATGTCCTCTAGCTGTGGATGTTTTTATAAACAGAGTATTGGGCCAAAGGACAGATCCCACAATCCTTTGCTTTGAAAGGGTTTTTGAGATGTCGGTGGATGTGAGACCTGCGGCTGAACCTGAGGAACTGTAACCATGTTTTTAACTCATGTAGAAATATTCTGCTCTGTTTCTGCCTGCACTTCCCCTTACTCACCCATGTGTCATCATGCCAGCTGAAGCAGTGCTGCATTGTGGGAAATGTGTCATATTGTGTGTGTTAAAGCATGCAGACGTCCTTATGCCAGCCGTTTCCAGCATGTGGCGTCACGCTAAACCACTTTCTGATGGTTAGTGGGTCCAGTTGTGTTCAGCATCACATTTGTGTTTTTATACTTTCTGTTGTGTCTCACAGCTTGTGTGTGTTTGAATCTGAAGCAAGCGTGCATGAGTGTGTTTCAATGATTAATTATGATTAATAACTCCCATTTTATCACATTACACGTTATAGAGACCTTTGATATGAATGTGATTATTTTGATGCATTTCATGAAATCTGTCAAGATCATGCCCTGCTCATATTTCACCCTAAAATCAAATCTAGCTATCTATCTGTATATATATATATATATATATATACATACATACACACACACACACACACATTTAAGCTTAAAGAAACTGAAAGACATTTTACAAGCATTAAGAGTTTTTGCTATGCAAAATATTTTACTGTAATGTATGGTAGAACCTGTTTCTGCTACAAAATAAATTAAAAAAATAGTAAGAAAATTGCACTGAAAAAATGGTGTAGAAAATGTTCACTCTGAAAATGCTAGTAAATTTCACAAACACTTACTAAGAAATGGCAAGTAACACACTGAATTAAAAGTGAAATTCTAATGTTGAAAAACCGAAATAGTATTTTCTTGAAAAACATACTCCAATAATCTTTGTTTCCTTTACATGTTCGAAAAATCATTTTTTACAGTGGCGAGTTTTTATCTCGCAATTCTGACTTTTCTTATTAGTATTTGAGTTATCTCAATTCTGACTTTTTTTTCTCATAATTGTTGCAATTACTTTTTTTTCTTTATCCCTTGACAGAAACAAGCTACCATAGTAATGTGAAAAATACTGATGCATTATTTTCTTTATGGGGAAACTTGTTTCTCATTTTCTTATGATTTCAGGGTGAAATATAAGCTGGAGATTCACACTTACATTCTTCTTCACAAATTCCGAGTATGGGTCACCATACTTGGCCACACCTCACTTCACTTTTGTTAGTATGGTGTTGTATTTTTGTTAACACACGGTTCTTCTGTTTCTGTATGTCCCTCAGTGATGCATGTTTCAGTGCTTAGATATTTTAAAACAGCTCTGTTTCCCCCTCAAATGAAATGCTGTTTATTTTTATATCACAGAATAATGCTTTTGTGAAAAAAGAAAACTCAAAATAATCCAAACGCACAGTATGAAGTATGCAATAATGTCACCTATAAGTAATTCGCCTGCTTTTGATCTGTTGAGTAACTGATGAAGGAACTTTGATCACAGATCCCTATGAAGCGAGAGTGGTGTTTGTGTGATGTGTTGTACAGACCAACCAACTGAAAGAGACGCGTTTCTTTTGTCCAAATGAAGGCAATAGCAAAGAAATCAGTCTCGAGTCTTTTATTCTCAAATACTGTTTGCTTTCGAAACAGCTACTCAAAAGCACTAAACATAAAGGATGAAAAATGACTCCAGCGAAAACACAGATACAACATTGTTGTTTTCAATGTTAATGGATTTTACTGATCAATTAATGTCATTTTGTTCCATCCAGAGGAAAGTTTCGTTGCTCATCATGAGCTCAGATGTTTCTCCTAAAACATGTTTGGAGAAATAAAACGGACCCAAATGAGTCACTGGTTCAGCCAGTAAATGTCTAGAGCTATAAAATAAATGTGGAGCAGTTGAGATCATTTAATGAGAAATTAGTTTGTATTGAGATCTGAGCAACAAAGGAAGAATGTTTTTTTCTGAAAATAACAGCATTTACAAAGTACCAATCTAGCAGTGTTGAAAGCTGCTACATGAGACATTTTTGAGAACTTTTTTTTCCTTTTAGATTTCTTTGGTTTGGTTGTTTGTTTGTGTCAACTGTTTGTTCAGCGAGTCAACCCCGCAAACATTTTAACTGGATAAATTAAGAGGTTAAACTATTTATCAAGAACAAAATCAGCTGTAATTCCTGTTACATAATTTCCTTTAACTTCAGCCTGCCAGAGCGCATTCACCAGCTACTAGTTTACCCATACTGGCCAGTCATGAGTTCGCACGCGCTGCGTTTCTGGCCGAACTAGAGGAGCTTAACAAGAAGAATCCAGTGTTTGATTTTGGACCAGAACCGGAAGTTTTTGGAGTGACTGACCGTATCGAACAGCGAGAGCATGAGGAGACTGACGGCGGCGCGGAGCGGCTCTCTGCTCGGCCTCGTGCTGCTGCTGCTGCGCGCTGAACTCTGCGGGTCGCAGCGATGTGAGTAAAACAGATCATCGACCACAAGCGAACCAATAACGGCTCACAGAGGTGAAAATATTCACTTTACTAACCGTTTGCTGTCACAAAGTGATTAAAAGCGTCCGGAGCACAGCGCAAAAACCGCTAGTTTCATCAGCCGTTGTTTGTTGAGCAGTGTTTACCTTTACATTAACCAGAGTTTACACCAAAATATACTAGTTATTTTACTTTAGTTTACCGTAAAACTGTGGTAATTTGGTATTAGTCGCTGTTATCAAAAATGAAATTAATCAAAATGACAAACAGGGTCTTTGAGTAATGTATTGTGCTTTTATATCAGTAGTAACTATGGTAGTTTGGAGGAAAGTGTTTACCACAGTACATTTTTGTAGCGTATAACATGAATATGATTGTATTTATTTGTTAGTTCAAATGAAGTCACAGTGTTTCAATGTAACGGTGTTTACAAAATTAACTTAGTGTTTCTAAAAAATAACAGTATTTACAAAGTAACATCAGTGTTTCCAAATGGAACAGTAACAATGCTTCAAACAATAGCAGTATTTCCAAAGTAACAATGTTTACAAAATTAACTGTATTCCCAAAGTAACAGTGTTTATAAAAGTGTAAAATACATTTACAAAGTAAGTGTTGCAGTGTTTGCAAAAGTAGCAGTATTTACAAAATAAAAATGTTGCAGTTTACAAAAGTAACAAAGTAATAATTTTTCAAAAAATAACAGTATTTACAAAGTAACTACAGTACTAGCAGTGTTTACAAAAGTAACTGTAACAATGTTTCCAAAAATGCAGACCGCTTTACAAGATGTGACTGAAGATGTGCAGTATGGCTGTTTCATTCATTGTGTGTGTGTGTGTGTGTGTGTGTGTGTGTGGGTGGGTGTGTGTGTGTGGGTGGGTGTGTGTGAATGAAACTGCCCTACATTACAGACTGAAAACAGTTCAAATCAATAGTCTTGTTTAAAATACACCATGTTGTGGTTAATCTCAAACTGTGTGTCAGTGTTGAAGGTGTTTGTTCTGTTAAAATGTTTATTCCAGAAATATTCTCTAGAAAGAGACTTGTTGGGGAATAGATCTCTAAACTGACCCGCACAATGAAGGCATTTGATCGAGTTAAAGCTGACATCCATGATGGACTCATTTTCTGAAGATCTGTCTGGTCTTCACTGAGCTTTATGTTTCAGTCTAATGTTTGTTTGAATCTTTCATACTGAGCCTCATTAATAAACTACGGAAGTGCCATGCACATTTATATAAACCATGATTACAATAGTAATGTACCATGGTATTTACAGTACGTGGCACTCAGAGGTACTTGAAAATAGTGATAGATTGATATACATTGCCGTTCAAAAGTTTGGGATCAGTAAGATTTTTATTACTTTATAAATAATTATCTTATGCTCATCAAGTCTGCATTTATTTGATCAAAAATACAGAAAAAAACAGTAATATTGTTACATTTGAGATACATTTATTCAAAATAGAAATCATTTCTAACAATATAAGTATATATATATATATATATATATACACACACACACACACATACATTTAAGCTTAAAAAAACTGAAAGACATTTTACAAGCATTAAGAGTTTTTGCATTGCAAAATATTTTACTGTAATGTATTTGAAATGTTTCTGCTACAAAATAAAAAAAAATAGTAAGGTAATCCCAAACTTTTGAACGGCAGTGTATATAGGCCAGCCTGATCAATAAGAAATATTTGCTGATAATGGCGCAGAATCTTTAGCTCTTACATGAGTCAGTTTGAAAGTCTAGAGACTGTTTTGTTAAGGAATAATGAAATGCTTTCAGTGTTTTTGAGTAAATATTGTGTATAACATCCATAACTTGTGCACACACTCATTGGCCATTAAAATCATGGTATTACCATGGTGTTCGCCCAAATGCCATGTTAATTTAATGGCACAGTTGGTATGTTTTTGTGAGTAAAGCCAGTCAAACACACTGATCTGATGTGCTCTCATGTCCAGTTCTCTCACAGAATAAAGCGTCTCAGTTCCTCCTGCGACATAGACGTGCAAACACCCTGTTTGAGGAGAGCAAGAAAGGAAACCTGGAGCGCGAATGCATCGAGGAGCTGTGCAATAAAGAGGAGGCACGAGAAATATTTGAGAACAATCTAGAAACGGTGAGTTCTGTCAGCCAATCGATGCTCTGATGTTTGTGTTGTGATCCGTCATGCTGTTGACATTGACATTGACCTGTCAGCCGTGTGCGTGCGTTCAGTCATGAGATCGTTTGTGTTGATAGTGAGGTTTGTGAACTGGAAATGAATCACTGAACTGCTTTATGGTGTGTGTGAATAATCTCATCATGACATGTTTTTTTAATCTTCCAGGAATATTTCTATCCCAAGTATGTTGGTAAGTCGTCATCAATATTTTTGTGCAAATAAACACTTACTGTAACCCACAGCATGTACAGTGTGTCTGAGTGATGATGTGTGATGTCAGCTCACACTTCAGTGACCGTCACACTGGAATCTGATTGCAAAACTCACTCTGACTGAAGCTGCTTTGACTCAGTCAGTCTATTTGTCCCAATTTTAAAAGTACTTATTATAAAAGTACAAAAACTTAAGGAAAGACACTACAGGTTAATAGGGTAAAACGTTAACTAATGTATATCATCATAGCTCCCCAGTTGATTAATCACAATACATTAAGATAATTGTTATGTATTGCAAGTTTTCTGAAATGTTCTGTATAAGTATGCATATAAACAAGGTTTTATCTAATTAAACATGCACTAATTTGCATACATTTCCAGAACATAAATCTGAACATTGTATAAAGCCAGGTTCAAAACTTTTTTTGATTTTGCTGACATATTAGAGTAAAAAAAAAATTCAGAGGGGATTTTGGATTTCTTTTTATCACTCCATAAATCAGAAAATAGTCAACAGACAGAAAACAAATACATTTTCACCATATTTTAGGAATAAAATGTTGTATAAATCAGTGTGAATGATATATGAACAAACCCCTCAGTAAAAACCTTCAGAATATAGAGAGGAATAAAACGGAAAAGTTTGGTGTATGTAAGAGAAAAAAAGTCTTTAAAGATATGGATTGGAACTGAAATCTACAGATGCAAATAGATAAAGTGCAATAAAAGAAACACTTAAATGTGTATTTTAGATTTTGGAAGTTTTGGATCTCAAAATTGAGAACAGATAAAATATTAAATGTAAAAATATAAAATCTGAAATGAATAGATA